GACGTCAGAATAGCGAGCCTGTTATATTTCGAAATAACAGGCGCGCTCAGAAGACGCAGTATAGCTATTTCGGGATACCTCTTGTACCCTGAAATAGCGCTGCTGTATAGTCATAGCGTCAGAGACTTACCCAACGCCAGGGGCAGAGACAGAGCTCAGAGTGAGGTTTTCTGAATCCTGTCTCAGTGCTTTAACCACAAGGCTATTATCCTTCCTCCGTGCTCATAATAACTCTGTTCTAAGTACACAGTGCCTGTGCCTGTCGGGTGTTATGGTGGCAGTTTTTCACTCCACAAGGTCTCTGCATCCTGCTTCCACGGGGCAGTTTTTCTCGCCCCCATCTGTTTTCAGTTGGGATTTTCAAGAGAAGTTGGAAAGTGCTTCAAAGCAGCACACTGGAACCAAGCCTCAGGTTAATGAGATCATGTCCCGTTGCTGTGTGGCGTTAAAAATGTGATTAATATTATCCCTTAAAAAGCCTTGCTCCAGCCACCAATACACTGTGCCAGCAAGAAATAGCCTGTGTGACGTAGTGGGGGGGAACTTGCTGGTTTCTATGGGTCTGTGGTAACCCCACTGGCTGCCATCGGTGCCACAGCCCAGAAGGACAGGGATGGGTCATTATGCAAAGGGATCTTTCAACCCGTCCGACCAGCTAACCCCCATGGAGAGGAATAAAGGAAGGTGAATGCTGCCCTGGCTGGGGGGCAGGGCTGGAGGAGAGTGTTTTAGTTTCTGTCTGGGAGCATGGAGGAAGCAGCCTCAGCAACAGGCTGGGGGGTTTAGAAGCTGAGACCCCTGCCCCATATCAAGGGGGGCTGAGGCATCCTAGGCCTGCCCTGTAACCTGATGACATCTGTGCTGTGCTGTATCCTGGAGAAGCAATAAACCACCTCTATTCTACTGGCTGGCGGAGTCTGTTTGTGCCATTTCGGGAGTGCAGGAGACGGGGGACCCCCAACGCGCCGTCACACAGCAAGAAATAGCCTGTATTTGGAGCAAAGCTTGTCACATCTGGTGCCGCTTTCAAAACCAAAACCAAAGCACAGTGCTACTGTCTCCTCTGCATGTTTCCGAAACTCAAGAGGACACATTTCTTCCTCAGTTCATTTGTGGGGTGTGCAGCTTCCATAATGCCATACCACTGTTACAGACTGCGAGCCAGAGAAGTCATAGAATCCTAGGATCCCAGGGCTAGAAGAGACCTCAGGAGGCATCAAGTCCAGCCCCCTGCCCAAAGCAGGACCAACCCCGACTCAATCAACCCAGCCAGGGCTTTGTCAGGTGGGACTTAAAAACCTCTAGGGATGGAGATTCCACCCCCTCCCTAGGGAACCCGTCCCAATGCTTCCCCATCCTCCTAGGGAAATCATTTTTCCTAATGTCCAACCTAGACCTCCCCCACTGTAACTTGAGCCCATTGCTCCTTGTCCTGGCTGTCTGCCACCACTGCGGACAGCCTCTCTCCATCCTCCTTGGAACCCCCTTCAGGTAGTTAAAGGCTGTTGTCAAATCCCCCCTCACTCTTCTCTTCTGCAGACTAAACAGACCCAACTCCCTCAGCCTCTCCTCATAGGTCATGTGCTTCAGCCCCCGCATCATTTTCATTTTCTATAGGACTCTCTCCAATGCATCCACATCTGTAATGAGGGGGCCAGAACAGGACGCCGTACTTCAGAGGCGGCTTCACCAGTGCTGAATAAAGGGGAATAATCACTTCCCTAGATCCGGCAATGCCCCTCCGAATGCACCCTAATATGTCACTAGCCTTCTTGGCTACAAGAGCCCACTGTTGACCCATATGCAGCCTCTCATCATAGGATACTGGGCTATGTGGCCTCACCCAGTAAGCTTCTCGTCCCCAAGCTCTTTTCTGCCAAACTGCTGCTAAGCCTCTTGGTCCCCAGCCTGTAACAATGCTTGGGATTCTTCTGTCCCAAAGGCAGGACTTTGCACTTGTCCTTGTTGAACCTCAGCAGATTGCTTTTGGCCCAACCCTCCAATCTGTCTAGTTCCTTCTGGCCCCTATCCCTACCCTCCAGTGTATCTACCTCTCCCCCTAGTCTAGGAGTCTATAGGCAACTTAGAGTGACCAGGACCCCCGTGTGGAAGATGGTTAAACTCCTGAAATGCTAGACATGCCGGCAGTCCGATTTATTGTTTTACACTCTGGTTTTCTCTGAATGTTTTTGTTTGGAGAAGGTCTGCCTGGCGTTAAGATGTTTGTCTGGTCCCTGAATATGAGTTCTGTCTGATCTGTCACCTGAATAAGAACAGAAGAACGGCCGTACTGGGTCAAACCAACGATCCATCTAGCCCAGTATCCTGTCTGCCGACAGTGGCCAATACCAGAGGCCCCAGAGGGAGGGAACACAACAGGTAATCCTCACATGATTCCTCCCCTGTCACCCATTTCCAGACAAACAGGCTAAGGGACACCATTCCTACCCATCCTGGCTAATAGCCATTGATGGATCTAACCTCCTTGAATCTATCTAGCTCTTTTTTGAATCCTGTTGAAGTCCTAGCCTTCACCACAACCTCTGGCAAGGAGCTGACGTGAAGAAAAACTTCCTTTTGTTTGTTTTAAACCTGCTACCTATTAATTTCATTTGGTGACCTAGCTCTTCTATTACAGGAACAAGTAAATAACTTTTCCTTATTCACTTTTTCCACACCCGTCATGATTTTATAGACCTCTATCATACCCCTCCCCCCACCAGTCTCCTCTTTTCTAAGCTGAAAAGTCCAAATCTTTTAAATCTCTCTTCATATGGGACCCATTCCAAATCCCTCGTCATTTTTGCTGCCTTTTTCTGAACCTTTCCCAATGCCAAGAGATCTTTTGTGAGATGAGGTGACCACATCTGTATGCAGTACTCAATATGTGGGCACGCCGTGATTTTATATAAGGGCAATAAAACATTCTCTGTCTTATTCTCTATCCCGTTTTTAATGATTCTTAACATCCTGTTGGCTTTTTCCACTGCGACTTCACACTGAGTGGATGTTTTCAGAGAACTATCCACAATGACTCCAAAATCTCTCTTGAGTAGTTGTAGCCAAATTGGTCCCCTTGATACTGTATGTATAGATCAGATTATTTTTTCCAATGTACATTACTTTACATTTATCAGCATTAAGTTTCACTTGCCATTTTGTTGCCCAATCACTTAGCTTGGTGAGATCTTTTTGAAGCTCTTCACAGTCTGCTTTGGTCTTAACGATCTTGAGCAGTTTGGGATCATCTACAAATTTTGCCCTTTCTCCAGATCATTTATAAACAAGTTGAATAGGATGGGTCCCAGGACAGACCCTTGGGGACCCCACTAGTCACCTCTCTCCAGGCAGAACACTGACCATTTATTCTTACCCCCGTTTCCTGTCTTTTAACCAGTTATCAATCTACGATTGGACCTTCCCTCTCATCCCATAACATCTTACTTTGGTGAGGGACCTTGTCAAAGGTTTTCTGGAAATCGAAGTATCCTGCCTCCACTGAATACCCCTTGTCCACATGCTCATGGACCCCCTCAGAGAACTCTGGTTCTAGTTGTGCTCCCAAAGGGGACAGAATTGCAAGTCTGGGACATGATGGGTAATCACAGTCGATGCAGCCAGGCCCAGTCTAGAGGAGGCGAATTGCAGGGTTGCTCCCTGAGATGGGCAGCCACACAAGGCCTGAGACCAGCGAGTAGGTGTGGCTGGAGAGGCCAGGATGGGTCACACCCTGCACTAGGACTCCCTGTACAGTCAGATCCAGAGAAGAAGGGAAAAGGGGAGGAGGTTTTACTTGACTGTCCACCAGTGTTTGCTCTAAGCTGCCGGGCAGCCCAGCTTCACAGGGGATTCATCAGCTCTGCCCAGTCAGGCAGCTCCCTGCACAGAGCCCTGAGCCTCTGACTGAGCAGGGCTGATTAATCACCCATGGAGATGGGTTCGGCACAGCTTCGAGGGACCCTGGGGTGGATCTCACCTGTCCTCAGCTGCTGCCCATTCCCCACCCGCCCACACACCCCAGGGACAACTGTCCATTTTCACTTGGGAAGCCTGGCCACACTAGATGGGAAGGCCCCAGTAACAGGAGGCCAGGCTGGGAGGAGTCACTCCGTTAACCACAGCAGAATACAGGAGCTATCGCTGCTGCTGGGCCCCTCTGGACTCCAGGGTTTTTTCCAACAAAGTGGCCTTTTTCCAAAAAACTTCTAGACTGCTGCCACGTTCTTTCGGAAGTAAATCGAAAGAACGTGGCAGTTTTTTCGACCGTGGAAAACCTCGTTTTACGAGGAAGAACTCCTTTTTCCAAAAGTGCACTTGCGACAAAAGGCACTATGTCATGCAAACTGTGCTTCTTCGGGAGAGAGCATCCAGACAGCCTGGGTGCTCTCTTTCCAAAAAGCGGCTTGCTTTTTCGAAAGTACTGGTTGTAGTCAACGCACTCTTTTTCGAAAGAGGCTTTCAGTCTAGACGTAGCCTCTCTGTGTCTGAGCCACAGAACTAGAGGGCGGTGGCCTGTGAACTGGAGACAGATTCTCCTGAAGACACCGACAGCCCTTGTAATCTCATGCAAAAGGGAGCCGGGTGTCAGCAGGAGACTGTGCTTTATAGGCAGGCTGGGCTCCCTGCCTGCTCTGTATTGTGATGTGTCACTGAACTTGGCAGAGCAGTGGGGAGTCCCCAGGACTCAGAAGCTAGAGAGTCCGACTGTGCAAACCGCCGTGAGTGACTGTGCCTGCTCTGAACATAGTCTAGCTGTTGTGTCGGCCGCCTGTGCGCTCCCCACTTAACACAGCCATTGTGCTAATTACAATTCTGCTCTCATCCTTCACCCAGCAGGGCACCTCCATCTCGGCGGGGCTGACACAATGAGCCAGAGAGACACATGCAGCGCCTTGCTAGTTGCCAGGACCAGAGATTCCCCTGCATTCATCTTCCCCCAAAGTGCCCTCCGCACTGTGGCTTATGAGCCACTAACAGACCCCTCTTTCTGTCTCTTGCAGCTGACCTACCTGCCCCCTCCATGGGGCGAGTGTCGCTCGTCGGATGTGGGCTTAGACTTTTTCCCCGTTTACAGTATCACGGCATGCAGGATCGACTGTGAAACCCGCTACATTGTGGAAAACTGCAACTGCAAAATGGTTCACATGCCAGGTCAGTCTGCATGGGGGGGCACACCGGACCGCGTGGGTTGGGGCTGATGCATTTGGATCTTGCAGTAACCGTAGCGGCATCCTCATAGGTGTGTGCCCTGAAAGCCCGGATGCTGTGTGCGGGGATACTGTTCGGGAGTGGAAGGGTTTACTCCGCCACGCGCCGCAGGGCACTGAGAGGTGTGTGTATTTCAGTGGGGATGTCTGCAGCCTCCTTCGTCTGGCAGTGAGCAAGGGCTGCTGGGGCACGCTTGGAGCTTGGTTGTGTACACACTAGAGGTTCATCTTCACAAGCAGAGTCTGGCCTAGAGCTCTGTCCCGGGGCTCAGGAGAAGTGAATTCTCCCCATAGCTCTGCTGCTCACTTCCTAGGTGATCGTGGGCACGTCAGCACCTGCCCCGTGCCCCGTGGGAAAGTGAGGGCAAGAATGCCAACCTCCTCGTAAAGCGCTTTAGATCTACACATGGGAAGTGCTGGATGAGAGCAGGGCATTGGTATTACGGTGCTCGCTGTCACGCTGCGCAACAGAGACGTGACTGATCCCTCCGGATCCTGAGCCCTGGTTCTGCTTGGCCACTTTGCAAGGGTGCGCAAAGCAGACAGAAACACAGCAGCTCCTGTCCCCGTGGGTTGGCCCTGCATTGGGGCAGCTCCTGTCCCCATGGGTTGGCCCTGCATTGGGGCAGCTCCTGTCCCCGTGGGTTGGCCCTGCAAAGGGGCAGCTCCTGTCCCCGTGGGTTGGCCCTGCATAGGGGCAGCTCCTGTCCCTGCGGGTTGGCCCTGCATAGGGGCAGCTCCTGTCCCCGTGGGTTGGCCCTGCATAGGGGCAGCTCCTGTCCCCGTGGGTTGGCCCTGCATAGGGGCAGCTCCTGTCCCCGTGGGTTGGCCCTGCAAAGGGGCAGCTCCTGTCCCCGTGGGTTGGCCCTGCATAGGGGCAGTTCCTGTCCCTGTGGGTTGGCCCTGCAAAGGGGAAGCTCCTGTCCCTGAGGGTTGGCCCTGCAAAGGGGAAGCTCCTGTCCCTGAGGGTTGGCCCTGCATAGGGGAAGCTCCTGTCCCTGCGGGTTGGCCCTGCAAAGGGGCAGTTCCTGTCCCTGCGGGTTGGCCCTGCAAAGGGGCAGTTCCTGTCCCTGAGGGTTGGCCCTGCAAAGGGGAAGCTCCTGTCCCTGAGGGTTGGCCCTGCAAAGGGGAAGCTCCTGTCCCTGCGGGTTGGCCCTGCATTGGGGCAGTTCCTGTCCCCGTAGGTTGGCCCTGCAAAGGGGCAGCTCCTGTCCCTGCGGGTTGGCCCTGCATAGGGGCAGCTCCTGTCCCTGCGGGTTGGCCCTGCATAGGGGCAGCTCCTGTCCCTGCGGGTTGGCCCTGCATAGGGGCAGCTCCTGTCCCTGCGGGTTGGCCCTGCATAGGGGCAGCTCCTGTCCCTGCGGGTTGGCCCTGCATAGGGGCAGCTCCTGTCCCTGCGGGTTGGCCCTGCATAGGGGCAGCTCCTGTCCCTGCGGGTTGGCCCTGCATAGGGGCAGCTCCTGTCCCCGTAGGTTGGCCCTGCACAGGGGCAGTTTCTGGTTACTCTACAGATACTACAGTGGCAGCATTTTGCCCAGGCCAGAGCATGTGGCTGGGAAAGCAGGGCCTGGCCACAGTGCTCCCATGATCTCCTGCTGGCAGAGCATCCCCATGAAGCAGGATTGGCTCCCAGCCTGCCACAGGGCAAGAACAACAACACCCACATTGCCCCACCCCCATTCTCTGCAGGCTGGCCCTGAGCACAAAACCTGGACACAGATGTTCCCTGTGTCCTGAGCTCACTGGTGGGCCTGGCACTGGGAATCCAGGCCTGGGGGTGTGGACTGGCCCTGTTTTGCAGGGAAGGCGCAGTTCATCTTTGAGTGCTTGCTCGTGTCCATTCCAGATGGGTGAGCACCGTGTGCACGGATTCTGGAGCTTTTTCCCTTAGCAGTATCCATTGGGCCAGCCAGGGAGCCGGCACATACACCCCTGCTGGCTCTCCACCCCCTCACCTCCTTCTTGCCGCCTGGGACGGTAGCTGGAGCAGTTGGCTGCGCAGTTTGTCTACCTCTGAGAGTCTAACACAGCTCTGGGTATTGGTAGGTTAGCTTAGCTCCTAGCGTAAATAGTTTAAAGTTGACTGTTCTTATTAGGGGAGTTTCCCCAGCTTATCTCTCCCCGGCCGCATGGTTTTAAGCTGCATGTGAAGTGCTCTGTGCCCATGCCCTGTGGCATTCCATACGAGGGGCATTGCACAGGCAGCTGTCAGATCTGCAAGGGCTTCAAACCAAGAACGAAGTAGGAATGGGATTCCCACCACAAGCTCATTTTAATGGAGTCCACGCTTCAACCGGCAGCACCAGAAGTGTTCTGCACTGGCCTCAATGAGAGAGCCTTCCTTGGCACCAAAACACATGGCCCAGGCAAAACCTTCGCCATCAAGGCACCCACCAGGAAGAGGCAATACTGGGGAAGATCCCCTACGAAGCATGGCCATAAAGTGGGCCATGGAGATGGGCTCAATGTCAAGAGGCTCCCGCACCACATTGGCACTGGTTGACCTCGGCGTCCGGACGCGGTGACTGAAGAGGTCCGGCAGCCATCGACTCCGGAGGCGTTCAACGCAGCACGCGAGCTCATAGAGCTCACGTCATCTCCAGGACTGGTCACAATTGCCAATGAGGAACACCAGACACCTTCAACAGCACTGGAACCACCAGTGCGGCCGCTGGTACCCGTGCACACATTGATCCCGGTGCCTATTCCGGCTCTGATGCCGGTGCTGATGAACAGCAGCCTCCTGTACCACTGCTTGCATTGGTCGCAGCACGCGAGCTCATAGAGCTCACGTCATCTCCAGGACTGGTCACAATTGCCAATGAGGAACACCAGACACCTTCAACAGCACTGGAACCACCAGTGCGGCCGCTGGTACCCGTGCACACATTGATCCCGGTGCCTATTCCGGCTCTGATGCCGGTGCTGATGAACAGCAGCCTCCTGTACCACTGCTTGCATTGGTACCGCCGCTACCATCGGCCCCGACCCATGCAGAAACCCGGGCACCGACTACATTGTCAGCACTGCCTACTATGGCACCGCAGGCTCTGATACCTACCATGATGGGGCCGCCCTACTCCTCCTGGCGCAGGTGTAGGGCCAGTATCCACCCCCGATACTGCCACCGGCACCGCCAATGACACTACCGGCACCGACCCATAGAGGGAAGCTGGCAGCAATGACCAGACATAGGTCATCTCATCGCTCCCTGGTACCATCGTCGGCACTGCCACGGTTAGCCTCAGACTACTTGTCTGAGTCAGACGCAGACGCTGTCCTTTCCAGGGTCTCATTTTACCAGTCCAGGTTGCAGCACCATTCCTGATCCCGGCACTGGTCCTGGCATCCCTGCCCGGCCATTCAACAATCTTGGCCAGCCCAAGAGCAACCCCAACAGCAGTGGCCCTTTTGGACACCCTGAGCATATCATCAGGCCCAGGGCCCATGTCCTTCCAGGCATTCCTTTGTGACTGCCCCATCAAGGAGCATGCCTGCCCCTCCCCCCCCCCAGCTACCCTTTTGACCAGGACCCCAGCCTTGGAAGCAGGTCAGTCTTCCTATAAGGAAACGATCAGAGTAACCATGGAAGGGGAGGGGGCGGTGGCCCAGCTCCCTGAACCAGTTGCCTTGCTACCACAGGCGATGGAGCAGCAATTGGAGCAACTCCCCCAAGAGAATCCTCATCTTCTTCACCAGTTGAGGCACCGTCCAACCCGCTCCTTCTATGCCTGCCATGAATGCGTGAGTGCACCAAGACCTGCTCCACCAACTAGTGGCTAACTTGGGGGTGTAGGTGGAGGAGCTACCTGAGGACTTAGACCCTGTGGTGGACATATTGACAGCAGACACTCCCACTAGGGTCACGCTGCCACTTAACAAAACCGTGTCCAAAATTGCGAAGACCCTGTGCCACACGCTCACCTCCATTACACTTCCCCAGAAAGGGGTAGAGAGACGCTACTTTGTTCCGCATACTGGGCATGAATACTTATACTCCCACCCACACCTGGGCTCCCTGTTAGTCCAGGCAATGGGGAAGAAAGAAAGACAAGGGCATCCCGGACCTACACCTAAAGAGCAGGGAGCTGAAGAAATTGGACCCCTTAGACAGGAAGACGGGGGAACTGCAACTCCGTATCGCATATCAGCAAGTGATGCTGAGCAGATATGCGTACAACACATTGTCTGCAATAAACAGATTCAAGGCGCACCTTCCACAAGACACAAGGCAGGAGTTTGGAGCCTTGTTAGACGGAGGCAAGGTGGTCTCACGCACAGCACTGCAAATAGCCTCAGAGACACCTCAGACTCTGCTTCCCGCACCATGGCTACCCGGGGTAGTTATGAGACATACTACTTGGCTCTAGGTATCAGGTATCCACCCGAGGTCCAAAACACGCTATAGGCCCTACCCTTCGAAGGGACCGGCCTGTTCTCCAAGCAGACTGACTCAAGGCTATATAGCCTCAAGGATTCCAGGGCTACATTAAAATCCCTGGGGATCCATACCCCATCCTCTCAGTGGAGGCCCCTATCTCCATACCTGCCCTGTGGCCCTTCCAGCAATGATTCAGGCCTGACTGGGGCAGAAGGCAGGGTTGAAATAACAATGGCAAGAATAGCAGGAACAGACATGGGGTTCTAGACCTGTCTCTGAAAGGGGACTCTGCCCGCCCTCTAACCAGCAGCCCAAGACCTAATTCTGAAATGACACCCAAGGATGGCATTCCAGCCTCTGTGATAATCTCGCCCTTTGAGTGCCGGCTATCCCATTCCTTCCTTTCCTGGTCCCAGATCATCTTGGATCAATGGGCATTTGGCCTGGTAGAAAGTGGATATATAATCGCTTTCCCTCCCTATCCCTCTTCAGGGACCTCTCTCCCCTTTGAAGTGGGAGGTGTCTGCGCTTCTGCTCTTAGGAGCAGTTGAGCCTGTCCCAAA